TACAGTGCTTTAATTGTATAAACTGTTCTGTTTATTTTATTTTTCATCAGTTTATAAAAAGTCTTCAGAATTGTTAATTTTTATCACTTCATATGTGTCTTTCAATGTCTCTTTGAAATCATCCATTTCCTTGTTTCTCACAGCCTATTCATAAAGCACACTTTATTCAGCCTTTCCTCAACTGCTGGGAAACTCCTTAGTTTCTGGGGTTTTTGCTATCAAAAAGAGGTGCTATACACATCTTTATGCATAAAAGACTTTCTCCTCTTTCTTTGATCTGTTTTGGGTGTGTGCTTAGCAATGGTATAGCTGTGTCAAAAAGGCACACACTGTTTGCTTCCTAACTTTTAGTGACATTGTGTGTAATTAAATCGCTTTCCAGAATTGTTTTACCCATTCAAAAGTCCACCGACAGTGTCTCAGTGTGCCTTTTTTCCCATAGCCCCTCCAACATTTGTTATTTCCCTTTTTATATCATCTTTGCCAATCTGATGGATATGAGGTGGAATCTCAGAATTGCTTTAATTTGCATTTCTCTCAAAGTGGTTTGAAGCAATTTTTTTTCCATAAGGCTATAGATAGCCTAGGTTTCTTCCTTTGAGAAATGCTATTCATATCCTTAGACCATTTATCAAAGGGTGAATGTGTCTTATTCTTATAAATATAAATAAATTATGGAATATAAACATAAATAAATTATCTTGGAAAAGAGACTTTTATCATAGAAATTTGCTGCAAAGATATTTCCCAGTTGTTTCCTTTTTAATCTTAGCTTTATTGAATTAGTTTTTTTAAAAAACTAATTTTTATATAATCAAAATTATATATTTTATTTTCAGTGATTCTTTCTATCTCTTATTTTGTCATGAACTTTTCTTTTATCCACAGAATTGATAGCAGTATGCAATTTACTACTAACAGAGAGATGATGGATTTAGGGTCTAGAATCAGACAGGTTATTTGTGAATGCAGCCAATGGGATTCATTTTGCTCGACTGCGCAAATTTGTTACAAGGACTTTATTTTTTTTTCTTTTTTTCAGTAGGGTAGAAAGTCAAGGAAGTAGATTTCTAATAAAAAAACATTTAAAAAGGGGGGGTTCTACAGGTAAGAAATATAGCACATAACTGTCAGGTGAGTTCACTGAATTGTCTAATTGTTTTTACTTTGTTACAAGACTGCTTGAGATGGGGAAAATCTAGAAATGTTTGTAAAGAAATACAAAAAACATCAATAATTTCTTTTAAAATAGCTTACTAATTAATAGCTAGCATTAAGAATTACCTTAGAATTACGCTACTGCTCATAGATAAGATCCAATAGTTTAAGATTATACTCCAGGCAACTTGGAGAATCAACTATGAGAGGCTATGCAAGTCACAACTTTATTCTTTTCCTCATATGCAGAATGGATCAACCCTTTCCCACTGAGCTTCAAGGAATGTTGTGAGAAAATATAAAAATAAAAGGAAAACACTTTGAGAGTAAGAGCACGACATCAATTCAAAGAACAGAACTATATTTTCATTAAGTTTCTTTCCTGTTTCATTATAGCAAAAACAGACGGTTTAATATTTTTCAACTCATATTGCTATTCACAATTAATTAGTCATCACAGCACCCCTTGGGGGCAGGTTGATATTCCAATTGCGTTTTAACTAGGAGACAATAAGGTTTAATGACAAAGAGCAGGTTAGTGTTTGACTTGTAATCCATGACAGCTACTAGCTATTTTGAAAAAAACTAGGTGGTACAGTGGCTAGCCTGCTGAATAGAGAGTCAGAAAGACTTAAGTTCAAATTCAGCCTCATATACTTGCTGTGTGATCTTGAATAAGGTTATGATCCCTTATGCTCCCTGCTTCAGTTTCCTCATCTGTAAAATGGGGATAATGATAGCACTTACCTTCCAGGGTTGTTGTGAAAATGCAGTGAGATAACATTTGTAAAGCACTTTGAAACCTTAAAGCACTACATAAATACCAGCTATTATTAATGTTAATAATAGTATGTTAATAGCATCATATTATTTCCATATTATATCATAACCATTATAATATAACAATATATTATAATCATAAGATGATATTATAATATAATTCTAGTACATAATTATATATCATATATTGGCTGTGTTCATAACATCCATGTTTCTTTCTGGACCCTTAGTCTATCACCTCTCTGTTAACAGTGAATAGCATACTGCTATCAGATCCATGGATAGAAGAAAAAATTCATGACCAAACAAGAGATAGAGAGGATCACAGAAGATAAAAATGGGTATATAATAGAATCATTATAATATTATGTGTTTATGTCATTATATAATTATATATTACATGCTATATAGATAATTATATAATAACTACATAGTATATATTATATAACTAATTATATAAAATTAATTTATTTTAATTGTGGCTTCCCACCCCCATGCCTGGAATATTCCTGCCTCCTAACTTTGCTTTCTGTTTCCTTGGCTTTCTTCAATATTGCCGTAGAGTTGTGTTCGACGCTTTGTGCTTTCATTTGGGGTTTTCTTGGCAAAGATACTGGAGTTTGCCATTTTCTTCTCCAGCTTCTTCTACAGATGGGGAAAATGAGGCATAGAGAGTTAAGTGACTTGCCCAGAGTCACATGCTAATAAGTGTCTGAGGCCAGATTTGAACTCAGGAAGATGAGCCTTCCTGACTCTAGACCCAGCGATCTCTCCACCACATAGCTACCCTCAAGACTCTCAGTCCAAGTCCTGCCCTCTGGAGTAGACTTTTTCCCAGTCTCCAAAATGACTAATTCCTTTCCCTCTAGGATTACCATACATATACTCTGCATAAATCTTCTATCCACCTTGTTATTTACATGTTGTCCTCAAGGGCAGGGATTGTTTTTGCCCTTCTTGTATCCCTAGCATTTAGCACAGTGCCTGGCACATATTTAATACTTTATAAATGTTTATTTACTAACTGCCATTTGTGTAACATCTACCCACATACTCAATTTCTTCAACATTTATTAAAAAAACTATAGAAGAGTTATCATCCAAACATTAATGACTGTCATTTTGTTTAGATATATCATACTGAACTACAAATGGGACTCAAGGTGTGTATCTTTTGATATAATTTTAATGGTGTATCCAAACTGGTCAGAAAAGTCACCTCCTTCAAATGTTTTGGTTTTGGGGGGTTTTTTAGAATAAAAAAGATACAAGGAAACAAAAAAAAAAAGCCATGTCAAGTTCACAAGTTGAAATAGGGCCTCCAGTTCATTCAAAAAGATGAAACTACTGAAGACAATTGTTATCCACAAGGACGAATACAGCTGGAAAGACCAGTGTGTGACTCAATAGTCTTTCCATACTGCTGAGAAATAAAGGCAATCTTTTGGTTTGTGGCTGCTCCAAGGGCTTTTTCAGACATGCATCCATTAGTCTGAAGGGTAACTAGTACTTCTAACCCTCTTCTGACATGGAGGTAGAAGAAATAACATTGAATTCCAACTCTAACCTCACTCCCTTGAGGTATCATAAAGAGTATGTATCTTCAAAGCACAGAATTGTTCCTAGAAGCTCCCAACATCCTAGGTTTGATGAGAATCTGCCCAGCATTCTGGGAAGAAGAGACCAACCCCATTAAATGCCACTTGAAACTCTTGACTATCAGACTTATCCTCTATATGCTAAGACGATTCTCATCCATTACATGCTATTTCAGTGGAATAGACTTAAAATGAAATTTCTCAAGGTTTCGTCTTTGATGTTGGCCTTTTGTAACTGGGTTTCCACAACAATATGTATATATATATATGCGATATATATGTATCTGTCCACTTCTCTTTACTCACATGGTCCCCCCGGTCCCCCACCCAGTTTAGGACCTCTTCATTGCTTGGTTGCTTGCACTCCAAACGTTCATATGAACTACTTATGCCTGACTTGTGGTAGAGTATTCTGAGCTCATATTAGTCTGATTAGCCACAGTTGGACACATTGTACCTTGACTCCACCATTTTGGTCCTCTTTGAGAATGAAGGACAACAACCAGGACCTCATCACATTCCAGCTAAATGCCTACTTGGATGCCCCTGCCCCAAGTCTCTCCTTTTTCCAATCTAACCTCCACTCAGATGCCAAAGTGATTTTCCTTAAGCTTGAGTCTCACTCTATATTTCCCAGCTGAGTAAACTCCAGGGGCTCTCTGTTACCTTGAGAATAAAATAAAAACTATGTTTATTATTTAAAGTCCCTCACAATTGAACTCAAATCTACCTTTTTAAACTTAGTGGGTATGTGTGCATATATTCACATATATATACATATAGTCATATTTTCACATATATACACATATACATATATTCACATAGATACATACATTCACATATATATGTATACTCCCATGTGTACATATAGCCACATATATATATACATATATATACACACACATATACACATATATATACACACATATATATATACATATTTTTATATATACATATATATATATGAGAAAAATAAAATTTCCCCCAGGCACTTTATAGTCAAGCCATATTGGCATCCTTGATGCTCCTCACCTGTGACACTTCATCTCCTGTCTATGCCTTTTAACAGGACTGACCACATACCCAGAAAGTACTCCCTCCTCCCTACTTCTGCCTCAACAAAGGAATCTCAGCTTCCTTCAAAGCTCAGCTTAAGCACTAGTTCATAAATGATTCCTTTCCAAATCCCTTTTGGTGGCTAGTGCTTTCCCTCCCAAAATTAACTTTTGTTTATTTTGTGCATGCTTACACAAGCTATCCCAACTTAAGCTATTAAAGCCTAAAACTGCACAGAGACTTTTGGGATAACCTGAATGTACATGTTGTCTCTCTGACTAGAATACAGAAATATGGGTTCCTTGAAGGCAAGTTGGCTTTTTTTTTTTAACTCCATATTCACCATGCCTAGCATGGGACCTGGTATCTGAACAGGTATTTGGAAAACATTTGTCCACTGACTCTTACCTGAATCGTATCTACCCATTCTCGTACATTTAGGAAGCTTTTCTCACAGGTCACATCATATAACAGTAGCACACCATCTGCTTTTCTAAAGTAGGATTTAGCTATACTTCGGAATCTTAAGAGAAAAAAAAGAAATGTACATAAACAATGGTTATGATAAGTTAATCTGATGCTCTCACTTCTCATTGACCATTCAGTCTACTTCTTCTATGTTAAAGAAAGACCTTCCTTGTAGAAACAACTTTTTCTTTTAAAAAAAACTGAAATACACAATAAGAAAAAGAAACATATAAACTTAAATACTAAAACTTAAATACAAAATAAGAAAATTTTAAAAACCATTGCCATGTGCACAGCAGGATGTAAGAGATGATTCAAAATACACAGCAATAAATTTCCATTTTAAGATAGCCTATATAATGCATACTACACGTTGTATTCTGAGCTGTCCATCTTTGCTTCCTTGTAAGTTTTCTTTTGTTCTCTGATGTATGCTTTTTACTTCATTCCTCCCCTGCCTTCCTCCCTGCCCCTTGCCAGAAGGCTACAATTAAGCACAGATATATTTGTGTGTGTGTGTGTGTGTGTGTATGTATATGTGTCATATATATATATATATACATATGCACACATGTACACACATACATGTGTATATACTCATATACACATACATATACTTAGATATCTATAATCATACTCATATTTAGATATATTCACTCATATGCATCTACATAAGACAGTACTATACTTGTTTGTCCTCTATTCCTCTGCTGATGGATAATGTCTTCCTTTATAAATACAAGTCTTTCCCTATTTTTCTAAGTCCATCAACTCATTTCCTATGCCACAGCAATATTCCAACCTTATACTGTCTAGTTATTTTAAATAGCTTAAAACAACATTGATTAACATAGCAGACTTATAGTGTAGTTTCTCTATTTTTCTCTTCTGATTAAATCTATTTTAGCTTTAACTTTGTCTGAGATCATGATTACTTCCCCTGCTTTTTTCCCTAATAAATTCTACTTCTGGTTTTATGTTTGTGTGTATCTCCTATTTCCTATCCCTCCTGACTCCTCTACTTTACTTCTACTCACTAACTTGCCCTATTATTACTTAACCTACCCCCCAAAGATCCCTCCCTTATCGTCTCCCCCATATCCTAAAATCCCTCCCTTATCCTGTCCCCCTTCCCTGTCCACTTAGCCTTTTATTTCTTTCTGAATTTAGAAGACTTTTATACTCTTCTAGATATATATGTATCATTCCTTCTTTAACCCATTCCCAATGAGAGTAAGGTTCCAGAACTATCAGCCCTCCTCCCCCATCTAATTCCTCTGTGTCAGTTCTTCTCTCACACCTCATTTATATAGATAATTACTCTTTTTACCTTTTCCTAAAAGGTTTTCTTTTTAGTATCACATCATATTCAACTCTACCTCAATCTTCTTTTAAACTATCCAATTACTAATAACAATCTTAGACATACAATCTACATTTCCTCATATAAAAAGTAAATAGTCTGTCCTTATTGAATTCCTTGTAATTAGTCTTTAATGTTTATCTTATATTTCTCTTGGAGTTTGTACGTCAAATTTTCTACTGATTTCAGGTCTTTTTGCAACACAATCTTAAAAATCTGGCAATCCATTGAATATCCATTCTTTTTCATTCAGGATTATGCTTAACTTTGCTGGATAGAATATTTTTGGCCACAATTACAGTTCTTTTGCTCTTTAATATATGGTGTTCCAAAATCTGTGGTCTTTTAGGTCTTCTGTGATTCTAATTGTGGTTCTGACATATTCGAATTGTTTTTTTTTTCTTGTTGCTTATAATACTTTATCCTTAAGCTGAGAATTTAGGAATTTAGCTATGATATTCCTGTAGGTTTTCTTAACAGAATCTCTTTCAGGTGGTGATAGGTGTATTTTTTTTCTATTTCTCCTTTTCCCTCTTGTTCTAACACTTTAGGACAATTTCTTTAATTATTTCTTGTATTATTGTATCAAGATTCTTTTTTTTTTTGATCGTAGTTTTCAAGTAGTCCAATAATTCTTTTGTTTTCACTTCTTGATATGTTCTCCAGATCAGTTGTTTTTCCTATGAGATTTTACTTTCTCTTCTATTTTTTCATTCTTTATATTTTATTTTATTATTTCTTGATCTCTTGTAAATTCACCGGCTTCCTCTTGCTCCATTCTAATTTTCGAGGAGTCATTTTCTTTAAGATTCTAGATCTTCTTTTCTAGTTGGTTGACTTTCTTTTCATAATCTTTTTCTTGAATTGTTCTTATTTTTTTTAATTTTCCTCAATCTCTCTCATTTGATTTTTAAGTCTTTTAAGTTCTTCCATGAATTATTTTTGGGCAGGTGACCATTTCATGCTACTCTTTGGGGTAGGAATCTTTTCTTTTTTTTTGCTTCAATATCCTCCTCTGAAAATGAAGCCTGGTCTTCTCTATTCCCATAGTAACTTTCTGTGGTTGGATTCTTTCTCCTTTGCCAGCTCATTTTTTTTTTTGTTTATAGCAGTTTGTTATTGTAACCACCTCTAGTCCTGGGGTATAGGGGATCGAGTCTCTGGCCTCAGATGCTCCTTCAGTTCTCCCCTCTGGCCTGGAACCAAAACCAAGAACTCTGCCCTCCTGTAAGTGCCCACAGGGAGCAGTGTCCCTGCCCCACTGCTTTTGCATTCACTGGGCATGTGCTGGTTCCTTCTCACTAAAGGCAAGTCTGGGCAGCACAGCTTGGCCTGGCATTCCTTATCAGCAAAGGTTCCCTCAATCTTCCCCTGCTCAGATGTTGGACTCCCAATACTCTCTGGCAAGTGAAAGTTCCTATGACTGAGGCTGAGGCTACCTCCCAACCCAGCTAGCCCCAGGCCTCCCTGCTTGCTGTTTCAGTAGAACTAGCCTGGAGATGTTTACACTTCACAGGGACCCAACCTCTGTCCTGTGATTTTTCTTCCTGTCGTTCCAGGAGGACCACTGTTCTGCCCCAATTCTTGTTTATTTTTACCACTCTATGTTCAACCTGAGGTATTGCTTTGTCTTGTTTGCAGGGGAAATCTGGAGAGCTCAGAATTTTCTGGCCTCCTCTGCCATCTTCCCAGCATCCTCATCCATAGAAACAATTTTTCAAAAGCATGCGGCCTGCAAAATAGCCTCTAGTGCTGGTGCTTCTCAATATCCAAAGAAGGACAGGATAAAGGTAGGGCCATTCTAGTGGAAGTCATAGGCAGAGCTACTTCTGGTCAGAGTTTTTGGCACCCTGTACTCCCATGCACTGAACCTGATGCCACAGTAGTAAGGCAAGTGGGTCTGAGACGGAGGAAGTTGGAGGGTGTTGAGTATTAAAAGGAAGAAGAGGGTTAGCAGGGGGTGGTAGGGAGAGATAGCTCCTAAGTGGCATGTCTTAGCTCTGCTTCCATATGCGATATTGTCAGGATTTCATGCAGATTTGACATAGCTGACATCTGAAAGAAGACCTCAGTTATACATCTTTTAGCTTGAATTCTAAAAAGCTCAGTCTGCTTCAGATGAGCTGATGAATTCTATTCCCAGAGAGGCCAGACAGGATAAGAAGCTCCTGCCTAATGCTTTTTAGTCAATGGCAATGAACATGCATTACAATTCCTACAGAAATAGGTCTGTGCTGTTGAGTCTCTGCCCTTGTAAAGAGAAGAGCTGAAAGGTTCACTTTCTTCAATGAAGTGAAGTAAGAATCCTCACTGTGTCATGGAAAATACATCATTTTTAATCTTTCACAGCTAAGCAGCTGCCCACATTAGCATTTCATAAGGAAAAGTCACCTTGCTTGAATCTTTCTTTAGGAAAAAAAAACACTCTGGAGCTTTCTTAACCAAACAAACTGAGGAGCTGCTAAAAGTCTCTTCATCTACCAAATATAAAAATGAAGAGAAAGAAGAGTAGGGAAGAGGAAGAAAGGATTGGAATATGGAGAAAATAGTAACCAGACTTTGAATGAAACTGGAGAATGTTAAAAAAAAAAAAAGAGTAAACAATCCAGTAAATATTTGTCATCTTTCATCACAAATTCTCCATATAACTATGAAATCTGTGAATGGCACTTGCCTCTCTTGACCAGCTGTATCCCAGAGCTGTAAGACTGTAGGTTCTCCATCCACAATAAGAGTCTTCATTTGAAAATCAACTCCTTTAAAAGAAGCATAAGGGCTGAGAATAATATTTTGCTTTTAAAGATTACTTCAAGAAGTGACAGGCATCTATATCACCCCAACATCGTGTGAAAGTAAAATAAGAAGTCATTCATAAAGATGACTCCATTGACCTAATCAGTATTTTGAGGTGTATTTCTTTCCAATAGTGATGATGGATAATCAATGAGCCGTACACATTCTTGCCTCACTTCCCATTCTGATCTAAGACTGGCTGGGGCACAGGTATACTCCAAGGTTTTTGTGCCAACATAATTAGTTAATTTGGAGCTAGACTCTTCAGGCTTGATTCCACTATTAAAACACACTCCAATGACCTGAATTAAATATTAAAATACCATTATGAATTACATTGGAATGAAATTTTAGCCTTGTGCAATGGAAGAAACAATTTACCTTATTCTATCAAATAAAATATAAATAGATTGATAGATAAAGTCAGAAAGAAGAACAAATTTAGGAAAAAGATAAGCTCAGTTTTGGACAGAGTTTGAGGAGATAGTAGAACTATTTTACAGGCAGTCAATGATGGAAGTATGAAACTAGAGGTGAAGGGCTAGAAACACAGGTTTGGGAGTCATCTGAACAGAAATAATAGTTGAAGTCATCGGAATGTATGAGATGGCTAGGAGTGTCAAAAGAGACAGAGACAAAAGAAAGAATCTTAAAAACTGCCAACCTTAAGCAGTCAGGAAAATGACAAAGCCAGTGAACCAGGCAGAGGTAGAGACATAAAAGGAAAATGAGAAGAGGATGATGGGTCAGATGTCAAGGGAGAAGAAAATTATTTAGTAGATGGGACAGGGTAAAAGTATGAAATGCTACAGAGAGGTTATGATGAAGGCCTTTGGATGTGGTTGTTAGGACACCACTGAATTGGTGACACTGGAAAGGGCAATTTTAAAATTTAATACCGATGTCATAGAAGCCCAGTTATAAAAGGTTAGGGGAAGACTGAGTGGTCAGGAGAATCATAAAACAGAAAACTTTTTGAAGAAGTTTAACAAAGGAGGGTAGGAAAGAGATACTGAACAATAGTGAGATGAGTTAGGATTAAGAAACTCAAGCATATTTGCAGGCATATGGCTACAGAAGCCTAAGAGGTATCATAGATTTATAACTGGAAAAGACCTATGAAACCAAAAATCTCACACACACACACACACACACACACACACACACACACACACACACACACCTCATTTTATAGAAGAAGAAATTAAGGCCAAGGGGAAGTTTGGAATTAATGGGGTCAATCCCAAGAAGCAGGGGGTGACTGGTTTGCCAAAAAAGATTGAACAAGCCCAGGTGAGAATCAGAGCATGTCAAAGCTCCCATGCCATTTAGAAATTGACTAGGCATATGAGTCATCCCAAGGTGTTGGCCCAGGATCACACAGAAGGGAAGTGTCTAAAGCAGAATTCAAGCTCAAATCTTTCTGACTACAAGTCCACTGTTCTATTCAGTATTGGAGCAAGGACCTAGAGAGGGGAGGGTGGAATAGGATTCAAGTTTCAAGTAGAGGAATTAACTAAGGGAACAATTCTTATATGACCAGACCAAAGAAAGACAGTGGGCTATGATGCTGAGAAATTTTGAGAAACATGGAAGGATTTTGAGGGAAGGTATCAACCTCCATGAAGAAGAAGGCCACTAAGTCGTCTACCTGAATATGCAAAAATATGGGGGTTTGGCTGAGGCCATAGGAATGCGAGAAAGGCTTGGAACAGTCAGTGGTAAATTGGACAGTGAGTTTATAAGAGTAGAGTATGATGACTACCAAATAGTAGGGAAGGCATTACTAGTGGCACCAAAACTGGTCACAGATCCAATCTATAGCAACACAGAAATCCAGAAATAAAAAAAGATGGTCAAGGTTACCCAGAAAGAATCTCAGGAAATGTGGCAAGTAGGACAGGAAGAAAGGAGCACAGGAACAAAAGAAATATTCACTATGTAGTCAGTGTTTGGTATATGGAGGTAAGTGAAAACAGACTGGTAGAAGCAAACAGGAGAAGGGGGGTGAATCAAGAGAACAGAGGTCATCATTAGGGAAAATAATAGGCTAAAGGTGAGAGTCCAAAGAACAGAAAGTTGTGGCCAGGGAGTAGAATTTCAACATTCAAGATTATGAAGATGACATATTTCTGAGAGGCAGCGAGAACCAATACATGATAGTGATAGCGCATAGCTGAAGTACAATACACAATTTTTGGATAAGAGGAGACTGAAGAATTTAGTGTTTGGGTTGTTGGAAGAGCTTCAGTATGAATTCTAACTCTTAAGTCTGATACCAAGGAGTGGAGTAGACAAGAAGACCTTGGGCCTGGGACTGAATTCACTGAGAAAGATGGGAGAATAACCAAGAAGTCTTTAGAGACAGGAACACAGAGGAAGAAGGGCTTATAGAAATAAGATACCATGGACTTTATGGGCTTTAATAGAGGATAGATGGCTACAGCTGCGATGGAAGAGGAAGATGGTCTGGAAGTGATAGTGAAGAGTAGAAAGTATGCCAATCCCTCTTCTCATCTGGCCATATGACTCTGGGAGAGATCTCTTGAGCTTTGGAGTTGTAAGCTTCAATGAACTAAGTCGATGGGATGTCCACACTAAGTATGGAATTAATAAGGACAATCCCAAGGAGCAGGGGGTGACTGGGTTGCCAAAGAAGATTGAACAAGCCCAGGTGTATTTAGAGGAGGTCAAAGCTCCCATTCCACTTAGAAATGCACTGGGCATATGAGTCATCCCTGTTCTTTCAGCCTGCGTGAAGTAGAAACCCAGTCTTAAAGAATAAAAAGATAAGCATTCTGCAAAGTATAAAAATTTTTGGAGAACAGGAAGGGGTTCCAAGGATTTTCTGATGTATTTTGCGCATCTGTAATCCCCATAAGAAGTTAAGCAAGAAGTGTAGGAAAGCATGCTTTTTCATCAGCAGTTCAAATAGGAAATATACCTAAAGTGGCACCGGTGTTTCCTCGAAATTCATTCTTACAAAGCCTCATGAGAAAACTGGACTTCCCCACAGCAGCATCTCCAGCAAGAACAATTTTATACGTCTTGTTTGAGCTAGGATATTTACGGCTGTCATCAGTCAAGTTTGCCTAAAAGAAAATTCAGGATGAGAAAATGTTAATTACTTTTTGTCCCTTATCTTCCTAGCTTGTATCAGGAAATAGAAAATTACCAGAGGGCATGAAAAAAAAAAGGCATCCCACAAAAAAGGTACTTACCTGTGGTGAGAGGGCTGATATAGGCTTTCTTGCAGAAGTACCCAAGTTCCCTTCAGCAATGGATTCTGAGGGTTTCCAGTCTAATATTGTACTGATGCTGTCAGAACCATAGGCTTCTTCATCTCGTATCTCTGGAACCTGCCACAAAATATACTATTTTTAGAAATGAAAAAGATGTATTTAAAGAAAAAGATACACCATACAAACTGCATGGATGTCATTAAGCATGATGCGCCAATCTAGTATGGAAGTCAAGGATGCTCAATTGTGCCAATCCAGTAAGGAAGTCCTTCTTAAGCCAGGGGAGAGAAACTATACTGTTTTATTGATCCTGTTTAACATTTATAACTTCATTAAAAACCCCTTTGGTTCCTGTGAACTCTTGAGGCTAGTTAATTTCAAACAGGGGGTTAATTTTTCTTTTCATCAAAGGTCTTAGAAGATCAATGATTTCTAGGGCTTACATCTGTATCAGACGCATCACCCCCAAAGCTCTCCTGCGTGCACTGTGACCTTTGAAAACTCCTTTGATGCTTGTCTTCCACCTCAAAATCATATTCATTAGAATCTCTCAAAGTCGACAGGCCACTGTCAAAGCAGCTCTCAGGCAGGCTATCGACCTCACAGCTTATCCTTTGCATCGGATCACAAAGGGCTAATGAATCACAATCCTCATCCATGTAGGAAGAACGTGATGACCTGATGATAAATAGGAAAGAGGATAAGGGGTTTAATGAAGAGTTCAGAAGGCTCAAAACAGGTTAAGCAGTACCAAGAAAGTAATTTCAATAGTGGAGACTACAAGATCTCTGTTTTCCTTTTGCAAAGTAAGTAAAAAAGTAAAAAATAATATCACCCACCTCCCCGAACTGTGGTTAGCATCACATGAGATAATATTAGATTGTGGAACACTTAGCACAGTCCCTGGCATAAAGCGCTATTTAAATTTTAGCTGTTTGTTTTCATCATTATTATTGTTGTTGTTGTTTTGTTGTTAAATGAGCTCAAAAGCCTTTCTCATATGTGTTGTTCCATATGGCCATAGAGATTCCTTCCCAAATATCAGATGTCACTTATTTTGGCAAAATCTATATTTGCAATTCTGATCTAAGGACCTACAACTCCAATGCAATGCCCCACTGCCCCCTCAATGTTAACAAGTCTAAAAATAAGTTCATTACACACCTTTCCCTCTATATATGCTTTCTGCTCCTACCATTTCTGCCTCTGGTATTTTATCCAGATTCCCATGTTTGTAAGGTTAATGTTATCAATGATTCTCCCTTATTTCTCAGTTCTCATATCTATTCAAGTCCAAATTCTAATCAATTCCATATCTTCACTATCTCTGGAATCCATCTTCTAATCTCTATTCTTATCACTACCACCCTAGTACAGGCCCTCACATTAATACTTCTAAGATTCTTGTTATATCTTCCATGCAGATAATTCTTCTTCTACTTTCTCCCCCTCCCCCCATCTATCCTCCCTATTAGCACCAGAATAATTACTTACATATAGATTTGGTCATGCTCCTTCTTTGACAGTAGGGAGATGCTGAAAATATTTGAGCAATCTACCTGACATTCATGTAAGTCAACAGCTGACACCAGCCTGCCATTTCAACCTTACCTCAAATTATTCCTTTCAACACACTCCAATTATGCCCACCACCACACACAGCAGCCAAACTGAACAACTCTGGACCTCCTACCAAACCAAGCTCTGCACCTTATCACCACCTTGACTGTACTCATACTGTTCCATAGACCTAGAATGCCCTCCTTTACTTTGCTGAATATCTACTCTTCCTTTAAAGACTAAATTAAATGCTACATCTTCCAGGAAGACGTTCCTGATCTTTCCATACTCTTCTCTTACCATTAGTAACAACTCACTCCCTCAGACCTCTCTCACAGATCTTTTTCTTTTGTAATTGTATGCATTATAGTGATTTGCCTAATATCTCCCATTATATTCTAACCTCCCTAGAAGTGGGGGCCATGTCCTAGCTGAACTTCATTCATTCCAGGCACCTAGTACAATGTTCTCTAAATAGTAGGTACTTAACAAATTTTCAGTATATTGTACTGTTAATTGTACCAGTGTGTTGTTTCTCTCTCCCTCTCTCTCTCTCTTTCTTTCTCTCTTTCTCTCTCTCTCTCTCTCTCTCTCACACACACACACACACACACAAGTATGGTATTCAGCTCTAAAACTTTTTAGAAGAGAAAAAGATGTTTCCCAGCTGAAGGGTATACACAAAAGGGTGATTAACTCAAAGCCTCTTATATGATACTAAGGGACATACAAGGCTAAGACAGGACCATGCTGTCATATAGCTCACTCTAGAAGTGGGATATAAGTACACTGTTCTCTGTATTTGACAGGTTTCCACATGAAAAGGGATTAAAATTTGGGTCAGAAATGGAGATCATCTTTTTTTCTCTTCAAATTCTAGTAGGAACCCAAAGGAACATTTCATCCTCAAAATACCAGAGGCAAAATGTCAACTTTCAATTTTTTCAAACTATTTTGCTCTATTACTTGAAACAAAAGCAGCTCGAGATCTTCTGGAAGGCTGAGTGACTGAAATGAAAGACAGGCTTAATATCTTTAGGAACACTACTGCCAGAAACCATCTCTCTTGGCTTAAACCACATGATCCCTAAAATTTTGAAAACTGGAGACAATGAAAAATAGTTTCAACATTATATACTAAGTATGCCAAGAGCAGAGGGCTATCATACTCTGTTGGTCATCTAACTCATCTATAGAAACATTCAATCTATTCTGGAGGAACACTTAATCTATTCTTTCTGTGGCTGGGTTATGATACCACTGGTTTCCATAAACCATTTCTTGCAACATTCTAAGTAATCATCACATTAAACAATAATGATGTCTCAAAAACACACACAAAAAAATTAGTATTCTCTTCATTTATCACTTTCAAAAACATTAGATTCTTTGGAAGGCTCAAACTCTCAAACCACAAATAAAAAAGTTGAATTTATTTTCCTTTTATGCCAATAATACTTAAGTTGGATAAGTCATTACTTAGACCAATGGGAGGGAGGGAGGGAGGGAGGGAGGGAAGGAGGGAAGGAAGGAGGGGAAGGAGGGAAGAAGGGAAGGAGGGAAGGAAGGAGGGGAAGGAAGGAAGGAAGGAAGGAAGGAAGGAAGGAAGGAAGGAAGGAAGGAAGGAAGGAAGGAAGGAAGGAAGGAAGGAAGGAAGGAAGGAAGGAAGGAAGGAAGGAAGGAAGGAAGGAAATTAGTTTGGAGTCTGCAGAATCCTGTTGTGTTTCCAGCACTTAAGAGCTATGTGACAATGGGCAAGTCTTGCTAAACCATAGTTTTCTTTTCTGCAAAGTGGTGGTTGTTGCCATCGTTTTTTGTCCTTCATGCTCAAAGAGGACCAAAATGATATCACTATGTCAGGGTCAAGGTACAGAATGTCTGACTGTGGCTGATCACACCAATACAAGCTCAGAAGGCTCTACCACAGGTCAGGTACAAATAATCCATATGAACACTTGGAGGGGAAATGTCTCTAAATTTGCACATATCACATTTCTTTTGAGCTACTGCAGTTCTGCTTTGCTCCTATTTCAGAAGGTTGTTGAGAGAATTAGATAACGGATATGAAGTACTTTAAACATAAAGGCTAACTGGTATTATTAGCAAGAGATGGTGTGCTGTAATAAGGAGGTATCAAACTCACAGTCCTAGTCAAAACCAGATTAAAATGTAATTGGAAAAGGTTTAACAAAATAAACAGAAATAGGATACAACACAGGCAATGTGTTTTTCTAAGTCAATATGTGCTTCGCAGGGATCCATTTCTAGTTGAGTTAGGACTACTACTATAGTGGGCTGAAAGCCAGTCTTAGAATTAGGGAGAACTGGGTTCAGGTCCTGTCCCTGACACATGCTAGCTGTGTGACCAAGGGAAACTCTCTAAAACTTAAGTTAGATCTGCATCAGGGAACTGTTTCCACATGGAAAGTTCCCAAAACTAAGGAAATTACAGGTCCAGATGCTCAACCCCAAATTTAACACGGTCAACAAATCAATAAATATTAAGGTAATATCAATACACCAGTCCTAAATGTTTCAAAGAATAAAAGAAATCCAGAACTCTTTTAGTTGCTGTGCTAAAACAAATTTTTAAATGACCAGTTTAATGAAACAAGCCAGATAAAATCTGAAGTTCAATTCAAAATCCTATTATCCTATTTTCAAGGGATATAATGAAGAAAGAAAAGACTAATAAAAATATTGTCATTCTATTTCTTAAAAGAAATATTTTACTTCTTTGTCAAATTAGATCCAGAATTCAAATGTAAAGACAGCAGATGTTAACCTACCTGTCATACCGCAAATTCTGAGGTGAATGGCCACCATTAAATTTGGAACTGCTTCTAGAGAGTGTGCTCCCTGGCGATATATTATTTATACGCTGTATTTAAAAAAAGACACTAATTAACCAGACAAGCTTTTTCAAAATACGAAAGAAAACTTTATGTGCTGACACACTATTCTCCTGTTTATTTCTTATTGTTGAGTTGTTTCAGTCATATCTGACTCTTTCTGACCCCATTTCAGGTTATCTAGACAAAGATACTGGAGTCATTTGTCATCTCCTTCTCCAGCTCATAGTACAGCTGAGGACACTGAGGCAAACAGGGTCAAGTGACTTGTCCAGGGTCAACATGGCTAGTAAGTGTGTGAGGCCACATTTGAACTCAGATCTTCCCGACACCGGACCAGGTGCTCTATTCACTGTACCACCTAGCTTCCCTCTCCTGTGTTTTGGTTCTGTCTTTGGGCAAATCACCTAATTTCTCAGGACTTCATTCAGGCAGGATAATAATAGCACTGCCTCCCACACAGGGTTATTGTGAGGGTCAAATGAGTTAATGTGAAAATTTTTTATGAAAATACATCACCATGTACATATAAGTTGGTAGTAATATTTTGTGTGTAATACTGTTTCTTAAAGAGGCATTAGAAATACAGCTATCATAAATACCCTGGATGGGTGGGGGAGTACAATGATTCAAAAGGTTCAAATAGGAGGATCTGCTTGGCATTATCTTTTTTGGTATAAATGAATTTTAAATTCCATAATTCTAAGTCTAGTCACGTTCTGGTTTGAAATTTGACAAGACTGTTTATCCCAACTTTCTAACTCCCTCCTCTCAGAGCTCAGTGGGTTTTAGAGAGACCTTTTTTCCAAACCCAAAGACATGTTATGCAGCAGAGATAAGCTATTCTGGAGAAGAGATAGACCCAGAATGCTTTTCTATTGAAATTAGTGCAGTTAGCTACACCAGTCAACTTACTGAAAAATCAATGCTTGATTTGGCCTGGCCGAGTAGCAGCAAAAGTTTTTCAATCATAGAGTGCTAAAGCCCAAGGAAGACTTAGAGATCATTAAGTTTAACTCTATCATTTTAACAAAAGGAAACCTAAGGAAGGCCTAGAGATGGCTAAATGACTTGTCCCCAGTTATATATAGCTGGTTGGTTTTATATATGTATGTGTATGTGTGTGTGTGTGTGTGTATATGTGTGTGTGTATGTATATATGTATATATATATAAAATACACACATATATACATATGCATATATACACACATATACATTTACATATATACATACACACAGATGTATACATACAGATGTAGACAGATACATATAGCTACTTATACAGATATAGATATAGATAGTCATATATATGAGATCAGAAAATAATCTGGGAATGTTTCTCGAATCTCAAATGTTTACTTAACACAATTCCTCAGGATTGTTCAAAAACAGAATTTCTCCCTGTAATAAATATTAATTTATAGAGAATAATAATTAAAATCCGAAATATCAAATACACCATATGTAAGAGGACAGGTGGCACAGTAGATAGAGTGCCAGGCTTGGAGTCAGGAAGACCCAAGTTCAAATCCAGCCTCAGTTACTTGCTAGCTGTGTGACCCTTGAAAAATTACTTAACTCTGCCTGCCTCAGTCTCTTTATCTGTAAAAGAGCTAGAGAAGGAAACAGCAAATCATTCCAGCATCTTTGCCTAGAAAATCCCAAATGGGGTCATGAAGAGTCAGACATTACTAAAAACAACTGAACAACAACAAAAGAAGATAACATGGTATTTGCAGTGGGGGGGGAAAGCCCTTTTTAAGGTCTAGCATCTTTTTTTTTCTTTTGGCAAAATTATATCATTGTTATACATTAATAATCAGAGGCTTCTACTAAAAAGATAGGCCGTCAGAATACTGTACACTATGCCCGACTCCTCAACGATAATTTGGGGCAGTGGATAGAACACCAGCCCTCAGGTCAGGAGGACCTGAGTTCAAATCCAGCCTCAGACCAAACACTTGGCACTTACTAGCTTTGTGACCCTGGGCAAGTCACTTAACCCCAATTGCCTAAAAAAAAAAAAAAGAATACTGTACACTATAGACAATTGCAAAGTATATTATAAAAATATAACACATACCAAGGATCTGTTGTATTTACTATATGTGTTTTCCAGTGCACTTCTTAATCCATCATTACTGTCATGTAATTTTCTGTTGGCTGTTCTACAGTTAGAAAAAAAAAAGAGCAGAATTTAAAAAGCCTAAAAGCAAAAACTTGCTTTTTAAAATGATGAGTTTCAAAATATGGGATGGTATTCCACAAAGCCCTCTTCTTTCCTCCCTACTGAATCACCGAATATCAGTGAAGGACAGCATCTGAAAACCATGTGGCCTAATCCCATTATCTTAAAGAGAAAAATTAGAAGTGAGAAGCTACATGACTTAGCTAAAGTCACAAAGCTTATGAGAGGAAGAGGGAGAATTTCAACTCATGCCCTCCAACTTTAAATTCAATACCCTTTCAAGCAGGCCGCTACTTTAGGGAGGTTCAAAATATTTTGGGAATGGCCAGAATTACCTATGTTTATTGCTGATGTAACTAGAGCACTGGAGATGTTAAAACTGACGTGATCAAGTGGCACATCTAGTCTACTTTACCTCCACTTATCAGGACTTAACCTGGTTACCTTTGTAATGGCAAAACAACTAAATATCTGTTGAAGCCAAAACTGTGGCCAGATGAGCTCACTCAACTCTGCCTCCTCTTTTCTATACTTAATTCACCATTTAGGCAAGATGAGTACTGATACATGCCTCCAAAAGTAGTCTACCTCTATAGTCTTCAGATAAAAGTAATTATTAAAATCATCTGAAAAACAAAGATGCAACCAAAAAGAATTCAGAGAAAAACTCCTTACAATATGCCTGACTTAAAAGACTTAACATATACTTCAGCATATAGATAGACAATCTAAATAATTAGCTACAGGTTCTTCATAAACTATCCTTCGTCATCAATGGTTTATTGTAACATAGGGAGTTGTCACTATTTTTTGGAGGAAAGGGATCAGTAGAGAATCCTTTAATAACCTTAAAAGTGCATTAAGACTTTGGGGACAACCTGTGTGTGCCAGGAGGAAACACTCAGCCACATCCCAAGATCACTTTTGGAGACCCATCCTCTATTTATTGAAAAACCAATGCTTGATTTGCAATTCAGTTATCTCGAAAAGCTAAGTGATTGTGCTGAATAAAATGTAATGACAAGAAACACATGTTTACCTGCATTTCCATCCTTAGGATTCAGTCTATTATTCTGCTGAACACACAACATAACATTTATGAAAAAAGAACAGTGAAAATAGCATATAATGAAGATAATTTATAGGAACTTACTGAAGCATTTCAATTTGCCTCTCAAGGCAATCTCTGTCTTCAGTATATTCTCTGATTATTTCCAGGTCCCTGTAAAATTACATTTTGCATTTAAATGAGAATTTTTGGATAAGCTATTTCCAGTGATTTCCATTACTACTCCATAGGACCTTCTCCACCTTCCTTCATGATTTCATTTCCTGCGCCCATATTTTCTCTCCACTTTGTCTGCTGCCTTCATCCTCATTGACTTCAAAAGTCAATTTCATCATCCATCTAACACTCTAACCTCAAGGTGCCTTCAGTACTCTAGATTTGAAAGACCTTCATCTCCAATTCCACATCTGGCATCCATAAGTACAGCTAATTTTTCTATCACAAGCTCCACCACCCAATATAGGGATTTATAGGATCATACATCTAAAACTGTGAAAGATCATAGAGGTCATTAAAGCCAAACCCTTCATTTTACAGATGAAGGAATCTAAGACTATGAAGGATTAAGTGACCATCCCAAGGTCACACAGTTAGTATGTGTCTGAGGTAGGATTTGAACACAAGTCTTCCTGACTGCAACAAAGCCCAGCACTCTATCCACCAGGCTATCAGGTTGTCTCTGTGTTCTCCAGCTACAATCTTCTTACCTGATATACTCTTCATTCTCACAAACTCATTCAATCTGCTTTTCTAACTCTTACTGGGTGGAGAGGGAAAAATCTCTTCCACCAGTCCCCATGAGCACTGATGACCTCACAGTCACACTTGATGTAATAATTAGTCTGTAATTCATGGCCAGTCAACATAGCTCTCACCCATACTTCTCTCTTCACCCTCTTAATTGTCTTAACTGCACCAGTCTCAATTCCTATGTTACACACTTCCCTCCAAATCCACATCTTCTACCCCTGCTCCAAGGTCACAAAGTATTGATAGAAGACATATTGAATAGATCAACTACAAATTCATGCTAATAAATTCACCAACATTTATCAAATTGCTTCTTGATTTCTTTTTATATCCCACCATGAAACCTTGCTATTTCAAAGTTTCTCTACTTTCTTCAAATCTCACATATCACTTTACCCTCTGATTTTGTTAATATAACCAAAATCTCCTCTTACCTGACTGAGATACAGTCGATCAACATAAGGCGTCTCTCTCTCTCTCTCTCTCTCGCTCTCACTCTCTCTCTCTCTCTCTCTCTCTCTCTCTCTCTCTCTCTCTCTCTCTCTCTCTCTCTCTCCTCACTCTCTCCCTCCCTCTTTCTCCCTCCATCTCTCTCTCTTTGTTTCTCTCTTCCTTTCCCCCACAACCTCCCGACCCATTTTCTCTCCCGTTTTTCTTTCTTTTGCCTTCAATTATGACTTTATTTTCTCCACTAACAGAAGAAAGAGTTTTGTCACCTTCCCTAGACTAATCCTTCCTCCAGAGTTCTCAATCCCATCTCATCTTCCATTCTTCTATGCCTTGCCTCTTTCATTAAGTCGCCCCCCTCTAGCATCATCTGTTCTTTCCCCTATGAATTGAAACAGACATCATTCTACCTTATAAAGATGGAAAAAAACAAATTCTTCATGACCCTGCTGATCTTTCCTGACATTTCTCCCTCCCTAATTTCCACCACCTCCCATCCTACTCTAATGCTATACATAGTTCTACAGTATTAATTAACACAAATGCTTGAAGAGCAACTTTGCCATTAAGACTGGTAACTTGATTTCATGAGGCAACTCTTGCATTGAGATAATATTGATAGAGACCTGGCTTATGAGTCAGAATACCTGGGTTCAAGTCCCATCTTTGACATGTAGTACCCTGGCTAAGTCATTTAACCTTTCAATGCCCTAGGAAACTCTCAAAATCCAAATTACAGAGCAGGTGCTAATCTGCACTAGTAATAGAGTTTCCTTAACTTAAGGAGTCTTAAAGTAATTGTAGTTTTTAGTTTAAAAAAAATTCTGTTTCATAACAATATAGAAAATTACACTTTGAATGCAGATGTCTCTGCTCAAATCTATTAATCTCCCTACAATTTAGTTTCCTTTTTCGTACTAAGTTAATACATCTTGTGTCTGACTTAACAGATATGGGGGGGGGGAATACCAAACACTGCATTTTTCAGAGAAAGTGCTCTTGACACACTGTTGCTTTGGGATATGGAACTATCAATGTGAATACAGTTAATTTGTTTTTCTAAATTTCACTCTTCAAGATAACGCTATTGAGATGCTTTTATAGAAAGTTTATACAACTGTTAAGCCTCAGAATAGAAATACATTAGCAGCTATTTACCAAACGTCTTAACTTATTAACATCTATCCAGACAGGACACCATGCTCCAACTGTTACCACGTTTGGCATGGTTATCAGGAACTAAGCAGAAAGACAGTCAGTACTTGGATGGAAAGAGCAAGGATATCCGGATCCTTTGGGAAATAGTGTTAGTAACTCAGAGGGTGACACTGTTACTCTTAAAGCACTTTTCATGAATTGTAGGGAAAATAAGCCAATTTATATAGCATTTGGATATTTGCAGCTAAAAGCAACTAATCATAGGATGCAGGGAGAGAAATCACCATGCCTTACAAAAATTGGGGCGTAGAACATTATGGTAAAATTACTGATGTACCTTATTAAATTCATATAATGTATATGATTTCCAAAAGTTGTATGCAAATCCAACTTAGTAAGTTAAATTGTACTTTCCTATTGAACTACATTATGATCTCAGAAAAAAATTTATCTTCAATTAAACAAAATAATTTTTAGTAGATGCTAGGGATCTAGTAAAGTATTATACTAGCTGCTGAGGAAATACAAAGATGACATCCCTGCCTTCAAAGGAGCTGCAGTTATAATCGGCTAATATTTTATTCTATTTCTGGGCTCCTAGTTTATTATCAATAGCTTAAAAAAAAGTCAAGCAAACATGTTGCTGCATGCATTTGTATAATTTCTGCTCGTGGGAAGGCTGAGCCTGGTAGAGTGCTTAAGCTTGGGAGTTCTAAACTTCAGTAAGGCTAAAGACAATTGGAGGTCCCTACTAAGCTTAGACTAACATGCTGAGCACTGGTTAGGGGTCAGCGTTTGCAGCAAACTGCCCAAAGAAGGTCAAAACTAGCCCCGTTCAGAAACAAGGCAGAATAAGCTTCCTCACTGACCTGCTGTGGGATCAAGCCCATAAGAGGCAGTTGTACTTTCAGCTTGGGCAAGAGAGAGAGATAACAGTCTCAAAAATAGAAAAAAGAAGAACAACCACATAAATGCTAAAACATACCTATTTAAAGAGCCCTTTTTGGAAAGTGAAAGCAATTTTTGATAAAAATCAAAAGGGACTAAATTCTTCCCTAATTTGTTTTTAAAGTCAGGCTTTTTCTTATTTCCTTAAAGGAAGGACTATGTTACAAATTTAACTAAATAGCCACTTATCAAGACAAAAAAAAAAACCAAAATATTTGCAAATATATTTAAACATACATACACATGTACCCATACCAACACTAAAGCACATGCTAAATTCTCCCAATTAAAAAAAATAACATGCAAAATTCCATACCTTTCTGAATTCAAACTTTGATCAGCATAGTCACTTTTCAAGGCATCTAATTCACTCTGAAGAAAGGCTATGTTTGTCTGTGCTTCTAAAAGATCTTTTTTAACTTTCTGATTTTCCTAAAGGAAAAGAAAAGTTAAATTTATTTGTTATTATGCTTTTCAACCAAGGAAAAATGGGAAAAAAGACTTCTTTGAAGAATCATGCAGCACATCAAAGGAATATGAATAAAGTTCCTTTTTTTAACTCAGTGGAAAAAAATAATGCATCAAAATCTGAACTGAGTCATCACATAAATTTCAAACTATACAAACTCAAAATCCCTAAAGTTGTCTTCCCCATTTCCATTCTCTCCATTGTCCCACAGTTACACACACACACACACACACACACACACACACACACACATACACACATTCATACTCTTAAAAGGAACAAAAGATATACTTTTTCAAAATACTCTCTGGTGAAATGAAAATCTACATCAGAAATAACAGATCTATTTAACAAGAAAGAGAATACTACCACGAAATATTCAATTGAATATTTTTAAAATGATCTGTTACATAGACTATGCAGTCCTCAGAGATGTTTCAATTACTTATGTTGGATATTTACAAGTGATTGGTAGTAACATTTTTCTGGAAAAAGTAAAGCTAGTGTAGAGATAGGCATCGTGGCCAAGTGCCCAAGGACCTGTCCTTGAAGACAAGACAACTTGGGTTCGACTCACCTATGACACATATGGGTTGGGTGACTCTGGCACTTATTAAGCCTTTTAATATTCTAGGCAACTCTTTAGGATTGTAAGTCACAGAAAAGGTGTTTCCCTAGATCACAAGGATGTATTTCCTCATGCAAGGATCCTTTATAGCAAGGAAATCACAAATCCGGGCCCTTTTTCCTATGAAGAATTTACTACTTCTTCCTAAAAGTGACTGTGACAAGGGAACCCCATGACATAAAAAGTACCTTTGTCCACAGGTACCTTGGAGCAATTTTAAAATGAATATTGTATGCATTTTCTTTTAAGTTTCCATTCTTTTTTTTTTAAAGCAATTGGGGTTAAGTGACTTGCCCAGGGTCACACAGCTAGTAAGTTTCAAGTGTTTGGTCTGAGGCTGGATTTGAACTCAGGTCCTCCTGACTTCAGGCTGGTGCTCTATCCACTGCACCACATAGCTGCCCCTTAAGTTTCCATTCTTGTCACCATGAAATAACAGCACTGTTGTGTTTTGAAAAGGTCCATCCCACAGGTAACATATTTCCTTAAATAGAAATGTAATTCTTACTGTTGACAAATCATAAATTCTTTTCTTTAATGCAGCCACATCTTCTTTTTGACTTAAGGTCTTTGACTGTTCTTCTAGCTGAAAGAGAAAATAAAGTACATCTGTTTATCAACCAAATTCAGATTGAGCTAATTAAGGTTCACATCTCTGCATACAATGTCGGTTCATTATATGGGGGAAATTTTTTTAAATTATCTTTACATGTAATTTAAAAATACTATTAAAAATAAAAAATATTTTGAAGTGAAAAAAATCAGTGAACGGCCTTAATAGCATGCTTTGCCTTTGCCTCATATTTAATTTTTTTTTCATGCTTGGTTCTAAAAAGGGAAGCCCGTATTTCCTAAAGGCAGATATTTAAATTCCCCATCGCTGATAGGGAGGGTCAGAGTTGCTGAAGACCGAAAGCTATAGAACTGTGGCTGCTCACCTTTTTTAGCTTTTTGATGGTCACCTGAAGATCCCCTACTTCTGCTTCATACTGACGTTTGAGATCATTTAGCGCTTCTTCAGCTTTTCTTTTCTCCTAGAAAAAAAAAACATTTCATAAGATCAAATGCCCATTCATCCAAAAAACATTTAGTTAGCCCCTACTCTGTAAAGAGGCTTGTGTTAGGTGCTGGGCAACATAAGAAGCCTAGATATTAATAGCATTTACAGAACGTTAAGGTTTGCAGAACACAGTACATGCATTCTCATTTGATCCTCAGAACAATCCCACGAGGTAGAGCCTATTACTACCCTAATTTTACAGATAAGGAAATTGAGGCAGAGAAAAGATAAGTGACTTGCCCAGTAATTGTCTAAGCAGAGAACTGGGTCTTCCAAGTCCAGTGCTCTTGACTACTGCTTCCAATGAGCTGCTTCAGTAAGACATAGTTACTGTCAAAATGATGATGATGTAGCTGGGGGAATTGGGGGCGTGGGGAAGGGGAGACAAAACAAGAAGGCAAGGAAAGGGCCAGCCATCCCAGTGTCAAAAACTAAGCAAAGGTGGGGAGGGGCTTCTGAGGTATGGAATAGGGAAGGAGGAACTCATGACAGATTTCTTGATTTTCTCAAGAAAGTAGGAGGGGAATTCTGTTGAGAAACAAGAAGATCAAATGTATAGGACTGAAGAGAAAATATTTGAAAGTCATCGTGTAGTCATGAAGTGAAGAAAAGAAACTGGACTGTAATATGGAGGAGTGGGAGAGGAGTGAGGATAACAAGGGTGAGAAGTTTTTTGGTTGCTTTTTTAAAAGCTGGGGAAGAAAACTGAGTATGTCTTTAGTCAGAGGAAAAGGACTGAACTTTGGCTGAATGGAGAAACAGGCCCAATGATCTAACCACTGAGCTGATTCTGGAATCATGGGACATGGGTTCGAATCCTGCCTCTGATAATCCCTACTTGTATGACCTTGGAAGTGCCATTTTACCTCCACGGGTTTCATTTTCCTCATATATGAAATGAGGGGGTGGTATCAGATGGCTTTTGAGGTCCCCATCTGTAAAATGAGCCAGAGAAGAAAATGGCAAACCACTCCAGTATCTTTGCCAAGAAAACCCCAAATGGAGTCACAAAGAGTTGGACGCAGTGGAAACACTGAATGAATAAAAACATCAAGGTCTCCTACAGCTCCAGATCTACAACACCACGGCCCCTGTGACAGTCATATTCTTATCTTCTCTGCTAGTTACAAAGGTTTCCCTCCCTAGGACTCTCCTTAAATTGGACAAGAACAAAAGGGCCATTATGGCCTGAGCCATCAATTGCCTACATGACATTCCAGTTTCAGGAAGCAAAGACAGCCCCTTAAAGAAAAAAAATTCCAATATCCAGCTTCTCCTGGTTCCAATTACTTCAGCGATGTTTATTAAAAGAGAAACATCTTGCATATGAGGGGTCAGATGGTCCTTAGCTGGGCTCCAAATAATGAACCACAGTGGAGTCCCAAAGTAAGCTGACATATTTACACTCAAACAAAATTATGTATCCCAATAGCCAGCACCTATCATCACGATAGCAAATCACGCTGACACCAAGTTACTCTGACAAAGGCATCATGTTACCAGGAGCAATACAGCAGGGGTAGACATTTTTAAGAAATGTTAAACCCCAGTTGTTCTCAGATCAGAAGTGTGGAATATGTCAGTTCAATGCAAGAGGGGCTGAATGTGAAGGTCAGGTTTGACAGACAGGAAGTGTGAACAAGTGAACCTAAATTACAGCAAAGGAAAAAAAAGGCTGATAATGTGCTAGGTTTTAAAGGGCTCTCCAAATGAAAAGAAATGAAATGTCAAGCAGGAGGGTGGCAAAGGAGGTGAGGGAGATTTGTGCACATCTAAGTAAAGTTGTTAAATTACATTTCAAAATCTATTAAGGCGACTCATTAAATAACAAGCTGTGACTTTGGAGAGCAATGAGCTGTAACTTCAGGCCATGTGACTGTGGAGTTCCCAGCACCCAGGAACCATCCCCTCTGACAAAACTTGGAAGAATTCTCCAGATAATATTTTCATTGAGAGTGCCTTAATTCTAGGGTTTTCCTGATTCCTAATGGTGTATTTATGACTAGGAATAGAGGAGAAGCTCCTGCCTTTCAATGAAATTTGCTTCTTATCTGATTTCAAATTGTCTGCCAGGGTAGAGCCAGGTGGCACACTGGATATAGAGAGCTGGACCTGGAATCAGGACAACTTGAGTTCAAACCTGGCCTCAGACACTTACTACCTATGTGACTCTGAGCCAATGATTTGACTCCTCTGCCTCAGTTTCCTCAACTGTCAAATGAGGATAACAATAATACCACTTTTCTCCAAGGGTTGTTGTGAGCATCAAATGAGATAATATTTGTAAAGTGCTTCGCACAGTGCACATGGTAGGTGCTTAATAAATGTTTCTTTCCTTCCTTCCTTTGTGACCCTGGACAAGTCACTTAATCTCTGCCTGCCTCAGTTTCCTCATCTATAAAATGAGGATAATAATAGCACCTACCTGTTTGACCCCTTATCTGCAAGATGCTTTTCTTTTAAGAAATGTTGCATAGAATAAACGTCGTAAATAATAATAGCACAACAACCTGGGTTGTTACAAGTATAAAATGAGATATTATTTGTAAAGACTTTGGAAGTCTTAAAGCATTTTTATTGTTATGGTTATTATTATTATTACTACTACTTATTACTACTATTACTACTACTACTATTACTTCTCTAAAATGATTCTGTCAAAAGATCCTCTCCTCACTTCCCTCCTTTCTCCTTTTATGTTCTAACAATCACAAGTACTTGCATTCACAAGTTAGTAAAATCTTCCCCCCCCAACCTCCCTCAAATCACAGGAATCATAGGGATTCTAGATCTAAAACAAAAAGAGACCTTCAAAGGTCATTCAGTCCAATGCCCTCAGTTTTATAGATGGATGAACTAAGTCCCAGGTATATTGAGTTCCTCATTGTCAAACAGGTAATAACTCCTAGTGGCAAGTTTTGAACCAGTATCTTCTGACACCAGAGATAGTCCCATACTGCTTCCTTCCAAATAATATACAGTAGGTTTTAACAAAAAATAGACTAAGGAAAATTTTGAAAATTTAGCAAATTCTCTCTGCTTTTCCCTTTCTACTCAATAGAAAAAAAGCAGGCCTTAACACAAATACAGAGGGTCACCCAGAATTTTTTTACTTGAGCCCAGGTCCTTCACAGGGATTCCACTCTTGAGAAAGAACACTGTGTCTTTAGTTATAGGACCCAGGTTCACATTATGTGCAGCTTTGGCAAAGTCACATATTCCCTGTCAGCCTCAGTTTCTCTTCTCATCTCTCATCTCTCTCATCTCTGTCTCTCTCTCTCTCTGTTTCTCTCTGCCCCTGTCTGTCTCTTTCTTTTGGTCTTCTGTTCTGTGCTCTCTCTCTCTCTCGCCCTCTCTCTCTCTATCTGTGTGTGTGTGTGTGTGTGTGTGTGTTAGACTACAGCAAGGATTATTAACTTTTTTGAGTCACAGACCCCTTTGGGAGTCTAGTAAAGCCCATGATCCCTTCTCACAATCTTTTTTTTAACTTTAAATTCATAATTTAAATCTCTGCTCCCAAAAACAACATTAAAAGGCAAGAATGGGTAAAAACTCCCCTAGGGTGAGTTATTCCACCTCTCTGACTATCCTTTCATAGAGGGCACTTAGTACTGTCGTTGTTCAGTCATATCCGACTCTTCGTGACCTCATTTAGGTTTTGCTTGGGAAAGATACTGGAGTGGTTTGCCATTTCCTTTTATCAGCTCATTTTACAGAAGAGGAAACTGAGGCACACAGAATTAAGAGACTCGCCCAGGTTCTCTATCTACTGCACCACCTAGCAGCCAGAATCCTTAGCACTGGGATACAAATGACCATCACTATCATGATCTGTTTTTCTGAATAGCAACCACATTAACAACTAATATCTATAAAGCTATTTAATATTCACAAAAAAATTTTGCATACATCCTCCCAACCGATTCTCAAAACAGACTTGTGAGGCAAGGAATGCGCTTATCCCATCTTTAGAAATAGCGAAATGGAGGCTAAAAATGTCAAATGATCTGCTCACCTAGGTTCTCACCTGGGCCATGTTCATGCTGGGATTCAAATTCAGATCTCATAGTCAACACTAAGGACAAGAAGAAACTTCATCATTCTAAACTTTTAAATATCATACTACAAAATAATATATCATTCCCACTGGGATGGTTTCCTATGGCCTATACCAAGGCTTGTTTTCCATATTCCATCATCACCACCATTAATTTAAAATTTAAAACATTTGAGCTACAGTGGCTGCACAGAGCAAGTAGAAAGAAGGCTGGACTTGGAATCATCTGTAAAAGGGGAATAATAGTATCTACCTCCATGAAGATGAAATGAAATAATATGCCTAATAGACTTTAAAGTGCTAGAGAAATATCCAGTATTTTTATCACAATATCCTATTTCTCCTGGTTTATTTTTAATCCATTAAGACATATTGAAATATAAAAGAAAGTCTAAACTTCTACTTTTAAAAGAAAGTCTACTTCTTGATTTTTCGGTAGATGTGTTTTGCAAGCATCTACAAGGTAAGCATGTTAGTAAAAGGAAATATATCTTAAGAAAAATGAAATGATCTTTCACCTGAATATCACAGATAGAATATTGGGCTTAGAATCAGAAAGAACCAAGTTTAAATCCTGCTTCAGTCACTTACTCCAGGCAAGTCACTTAACATCTACGGGCCTCAGTTTCCTCATCTAAAAAATTAAGGGAATGAACTTAATGACATCTTGCACTAATCTACATTTTCTATTCATAGATACCTTTTCATTTACCGAACTACAGATGCACCAAGCATCTGCTATGCATTCTACAGCCAAGTGCAACTGAGGTACAGTTAAGTAATGACTTCACCAAGTCTCCTCAATAAACTAGTATCAGAAATAGGCCTCCTTATTTCAAAGGCATAAAGTTTGGATCACTCAGCCATAGCTACTTAATACAGCACACATTTCACTGGGCATAAAAAAATGAAAATATCTTTCAAATAATTCATGAGGAGCAAATTATCCTCATCTATCCAAATGTATTTCCTTTTAGCTAGATAGAGGCCAAGTAAGGTTTTAAACGAAATGGGGATAACTATCAGCATGACAGAACCTAAATCTCTTAAGTGCTATGTTCACCGAGGTTAAGTATTTTACAGGGAATCATAGACTGTTCTTCCAAACATCAGTGCAATAGTCCCAAAGTGGATAATCTCCATAAAACTAAAACAATAAAAACCAATTATACCATTTCCCTCCAGAAACATTTTATTTTCTTTGTCCCCAGGGCAAAATCAGGAAGGGGTTTCATCTTGCTTGCTGCTTACCCAGAGAAGACAGCAACAGTAAGAACCCTAAACTCTAGGACTAAGTATATTTTGAAGCAAACATGCAGTGGTGCTACTTGCAAAATTGTAATTTCAATGCTGAATTCTAAAGGCTAGTCATGATGCATTGTCATCCATTATCAGAAATCTATGCACAAGATGAAACAAAAGAAGAATTATCTTTTCCCCTACTTAACTGAAATATGGGCTAATGCGGGCAAAAGTTCCACTTAATGGACAACCAACCAACCACTGTCTGAGCGTCTTCTATACTATGCCCAACTCTGCGGGTGATATAAAAGAATCCTCAACTATTTGGCAACTTCACTTAATTAAAGCCCAGCTAAGCATCAGGAACTAAACAAAAAAGTCATCCGACAAGCCAAAACAGAAGTCACAAAACAGATGCAAGGAAGCTAATGGCTCTAATTATAGAGATCCAGCTTGCCCTCACTGGGCCTATTTAAGTCTCATTTAGACACATTTCTAAGAAGTGTGATTAACTTGTTTTTTGAGTGTTCCACAGACTAGAAGCAGCGAATTAGAAAAAGAGAGAGTGGCTACCTCAGGCAGGCACGCTGACAACAGCAAAAATACTGCAGGGAAGGAAGAAGACAGAACACTTATGAAAAGCACACGCAAGCACTCAAAAAGCAAAACAATCTAAAACCATTGAGTAGAGGAGCCAATAGTTCTGTATGCCTTCAGATAGGTCCTAAGGGCATCACCCTATTATAGAATAGTAGAATAACCGCTAGTAATATGTAGTAAATAATAGTATCTTATTTGTAGCTACCTAGATTCACAGTGGGTTCAAATAGTGGGTTTCAAATAGTAACAGTACAATAACATGTTTATAAACATGGCCCTGAGTCTAAGTTCAGTGATGTTCAGAATATTCTGCTTAACAAGAAAGGGAAGTAATAGATTTTAGATTCTCAGCCAAAATGGTTAGAATATAGTTTTAATGTTCAAAAGGATAAATCTTCCATTATCTAATTCCAGAGTTTTTTTAAGCTTTAAGACCAAAGTTCTGGCCTCAGGAAGCTTATAATCCACAGGAGAATTCCGAATTAACATGTGCAAAGCAATTAGGGAACAAATAAGTAAGTGCTAAACCATATAGTATTGACTTAAAATGACAAGTAGGAAGATGTTAATCTTGCATGAAAGTCATGAAGCAATGTCTCAGGGAAGAGAGGGGGGTCTTGAGTTGGGTACTGAAGAAACTTGATAAGCTGAAAGCTAACTGGAGAGGAGTTTTTTTGATGCACAGCAGTGGGAAATAAAACTGGACAATCGTATTGAGAGTGAGGTCAGATAATGAAACTATCGAATGTCAAGCAGAGGAGTTTGACCTTGATAATAAAGCAGCATTTTATATTTTTAAGTAGGACATGATGAAAATGGTTATTGAGGAAGATTAGCTAAGCAGTATGTGTGATATGGAGTCCGAGAGCCTGGGTAGGAAAATGTTGCTGTAATCCAGGCATAAAGAAGATCTTAATCAAAGAAGCATAGATTTAGAACCGGAAGTGATCTCAGAGCCCACCTAGTTCCTCATACTTACCACACACAAGGACAGTGAAGCACAGATAGACTAACTACCCAAGGTTACAAAGATTAGCACTGTTCGACCTGAGAGTGGTTGGACTTCGATCCACCGCCAAATCCAGGAGAAGAAAGGAGGTAAGAGAAGGGGAGGGGAGAGAGAGGAAGGGAATTAAGGAGAGGAAAATGCTACTACTTTTATTCTCCATATGCAAACCTGCATTGTGAACTCCACCCAGTGCCAGACATACATCAAAAAATGTTCTGAACCCTGGGACTGAATAACAGTGGGAAATCAAGGGAGGTTAGGAGCCTAGAAATAAGAAGAGTTTTAAATCTGAGGGATTAGAAAGGAGCCAAGTTTGCACAATGAGAAGAAGCTAAGTGCTGCAGTAGATAGAGCACTGGGCCTAGAACGACAAAGATCAGAGTTCAAAACTGACCTTAGACACTTACTAGCTGTACGACCCTGGGCAACTTACTTAATCCCTGCCTGCATAAAACTGGATAAGGACATAGCAAACCACTCCATTATCTTTGCCAAGAAAACCCCATGGACAGTTGATCCACAGGGGTCATGAAGAGTTGGACAGACAGAGTGAATGAACACCACCACCACCACCACCACCACCTACACAATGAGACAACAGAAAAGTCAATGGTGCTAGAGAAATGAAAAATAGTAGAACTGAGGGGGTTATCACTAAAAGCCTGGGGGAAATATGCTAACATTATCTAGAGGCATCACTTTCCACTTTTTGCTTAATGAAAAAGAAGAATCTGGATGGAAATAATTTCCTTCAATTCATGCTGCAGTTGCAGCAAACTATGATGAAGAGGAGAAAAAAAACTGGCTATGTTCCAGTGCATAACAATGAAATTTAGAGACCCAGTTTGAATTCTATTGAAGTCACAATTTGAAACTCGCTTCATGTATCCTTCAAATAAACAGAAGTAGAAGCTCTCTGCTTTGACAGAATCTGCGTAGGTACAGACGTGGCAGGAGGCGGTGAGTGGGGTTGTCTTCCACACTGACGTCTGGAGGTGATGGCAATACCAGACACTTACATCTTTCCTTGTTTTATGTTCTGTGGCTTGGATCCTCTGATCCATCTCCTCTTCCAGCTCACTCAACTGCATGGCTGCTTTGTCCTGGGCTCTGAAAATTTAAAAGGGCACACACTTCGATTCACCTTTGTTATTTGAAAACACAATAATGAGAGAGACTCTTCATTTCCTTCATGTGCACACACGCATTCTGAACTCTAACCAGCCCCAGAGATATGTCATTGAATAAATAAACACCAAACTGCTGGGGCTGGCAGTTAATTTTTACAATATTTGCTTCTTTAAATAATGTAACCACCATAACCACCAACCATGAAAAGCTCACATTTCTATGGCACTTTAAGATTTATTTTAAGATTTTAAGGCATTTTCCTTCATAATTATCCTCTGAGGTAGGTTTAAAAAAAAAAGTATTGTTATCCCCATTTAACAAATGGGCAAACTGAGGTTTGAAGAGATGAAATGATATTGCCCAGTGTCACAAAGCTTGTAGGCATCTCATCTGGGATTCATATTCCAAGTCTACCATGGTTTTTTGTTGCGGTTTGGTTTGGGTTTTTTTTTTTTTACTTTTTGCTAGGCAATGGGGTCAAGTGACTTGCCCAGCGTCACACAGCTAGTAAGTGACAAGTGTCTGAAGCTGGATTTGAACTCAGGTCCTCCTGACTCTAGGGCCGGTGCTCTATCCACTGTGCAACCCAGCTTCCCTCCCCCCAAGCATGTTTTGCTATGAGGATATTGAATAGTAAAGGTGAGGGTTAAGTACATAGCACCAACTATGTTTGAGTCATCATGCTGTGTTTTACAAATATTATCCCATTTGATCTTCACAGAGGTTTGCTGTTTTGTCCTCCATTCTCGAAGAAGACCTTGACATCAGGGAGGTAATGCCATGACTTGCAAGTGAAATGGATTTAAGTGAGACAGGGCTGTGCAAAGTCACCAGCTTCACTTTCTCCTCCAGAGTCATCTGGGTCCAGCAGCCAGATGTAGATCAGGACGCCTGGAGATGGCCCAGGATGCAATGGGGAACCTTGGCCTTTTCAAACTAAGGTCTTTAACAGGTCCCAGTCTGACTAGGGCAACATCCATTCAGTGATTTAGGCTTAATCACAGCAACCCTGAAAGTTAGATGCAGTTAGTATTATAGTTAAAGAAACTGAACCAAACAGAGATTAACTGACTTTTGCCCGGGATCACACAGCTATTAAGGATCTGAGGCTGGATTTGAACCCATGTCTTACTGACTCCAGGCCTAGAGCTCTAACAGCTGCACCACCCCAGCTACAAAAGTAATGAAGACATATCTGTAAAACATATTTTATAACTTAATTATAGCAACTATATCACAGGTTAAAATAGGAACAAAAACTGGGGCAGGGGAACAGAATAACAAATTCCCCAAATGATAAAACTGAATTCTAACAAAAGTCCTTAAAATTTCAGTTCATAGAACATGAGTTTACACTTTAACCAGAATTTGGTTCTTAACTTAATTCTAAGAATAAATCATTTTTTAAAAATCTGAAATCGGAGAGTGGGATTGGAACAGCAAAATATATTGAAAGTGGTTTGGGTTTTATGCTTAATGCTGAAGCTGATTTTAAAATCGTTTCGTGTATCATTCAGTTCCCAGTATTTCAATACTATGGGGAAAGGTAAGTATATGAAGTATATGAACTCTAAAAAATTTGCTTTTAGTTCATAAATGATATGGTTTAGGTCTGTATTTAAATTTCCCTCACATACAGGCCATGGTGGCTTGATTCCATCCACTCCATTTTTTTCCTCATATGTTCAGTTGCTAGTTGAGTACAAGTATTAAATGTGCCCCGTCAACATATATGTGTATGTATGTATATAAATGTATTATATACACATATGTATTTATGTAGTATATGTTATATGTAATACCATTTCATAAACTATATGATTATACATTTTATCTATAGATGTTTATATTATTTATATAATTATATATTTATATTTTTGTATATTTAATATAAATTTAAGAAAGAGACAGCTATTTACTCTAAGCAGTAAACATACAACAGGCTAAATTTCATGGAAACATATATCAGTTAGAAAGGACCTCAGGATCGTCTGTGTCAACTTACATCTGAACAGGAATCCAAGCGGTTCTCAAATCTTCTTGTTTTTACTTTCACATAATTTCTCATCCATGTCCCCTTCTTACTGACAGTCACAGTTCCACGCTAGGCCCTCATTATCTTTCACCCGGATTATTGTGATAGCCCCCTATTGGTCCTACCTCAAATCTCTCCCTCACCAGTCCTTCCTCCTCTCTGCTGTCAAAGTAATTTTCCTAAAGCACAGGTCTGACAATGATCGCATCCCTCCATCCCCATTTCAATAACCTCCAGTGGCTCCCTATTACCTCCAGGATCAAATATAAAATTCTCTGTTTGGCAGTTAAAATCTTTTCTAGTCTACTTTTCCAGTCTTCTGACCATTTAGTCTCCTCCACATCGATGATTCAGCTACACTGGTCTTCTTGATTGCACAGCAAGATCTTCAAGCCTTTGTACCTGCTGTCTACTGTCCCTACAATGTTCCTCCTTTTCTCTTGACTCACTTTAAGCCTCAGCTCAGACATCATCTTCTTTTGCAGGAGGCCTTTCCTGGTCCCTTCTCTACCCTAGTCCCCTTGCAGGTACTTTCTTTCTGAGATTAACTTCCATTTACAGTGTATATACTTTAAAGACACACATAGTTATTTATTTATGTGTTGTCTCCATTAGAATATGAGATTCTTGAAGACTCTTTTTTTACGTCCAGTGCTTAGAAGAACATCTGGTACATGTTGCAGTATTATTTGTCTGACTCTCCCGGACCCTATGGACCATAGCACCCCAATACTGTCTGTGGGGTTTTCTTGGCAAAGATACTGGAGTGGTTTGCATTTCATTTTCCAGTGGATTAAAGCAAACAGGTTAAGTGACTGGTCACACGGCTATTAAGCGTCTGAGGCCACATCTGAATTCAAGTCTTCCTGACTCCAGGCCCAGTGTTCTATCCACTGAGCCAACTAACTGCTTCCATCTGGCACATAGCAAGCATTTAATAAACACTTATTGACCAACTACAGCATTTCTGACAAGTGGTCATCTAGTCACTGCTTGAAGACCTCCAGGGAAGGGCTGTCCCCCGACCCCGCAAGGCAGCACAAATTCTTCGTAGCTTCTCCCAGTATAAATCATCTGCCCAGACATCTGGTTTTACATTTTAGCATCATCCATCTCCAGAGAAAGAACTAACAGAGTCTCAGTGCATATCGAAGCATACTGTTTCTCACTTTATTTTTTATGGTGGTTTTTTTTGGGGGGGTTTTTGGCCTGTAGTTTCTTTCACAACATGACTAATATGGAAATATGCCATACAGGCATGGTTGCAAATGTACAACTTATATCAAATTGCTTCCTGTCTCAGGGAGGGGAGATGGGAGGGAGGAGAAAATTTGGAATGTAAATTTGCTGTAAAATATTCTTTTAAAAAATAAATAAATACATTTTAGCATCTGTTTTCAGTTGTCTTAATAGTGATTCAAAACTTCTTTTTGAAAGAATTGTGACTGTCAGTCCCATCTACTTCTAATTTCTCCAATCAGAACTACTCTCCTCAAAGCTTTTAAAGAGGCCAGAACCTTATACTTTCTCTACAATTTAAAAAAAAGACAAAGGCTTTAGAAGTAAATATTTCTTCATAAAAGCATTGTACTTCTTTCAAAATCATTATTGATCCTCGCAACAACTGCATGAATTATGTAGGACAGATATTAATCAACCAATCAATAAGCAGTTATTAAGCATCTACTATGTTCCTGATATTGAGCTAGGCTCCATTTCACAGATGAGGAAACATGAAGTAAAATAATTTGTCCAGTCTTATAGTTAGTAAGTGAAAAAATGCAGATGACAGAACTGCAAAGGGGAATTCCTTCCACTAATATTGCACTAACAATGCAGCTTGCTTCAATTAATGCGGAGGTTTAAATTTTTTTTTTAAATAAATTTAAAAAAATAAAATCAAGTGGTACATATTACAATGTCAACATTATTTCAGAGAGGCAGCCATTACCAATATGTGGTCAAGGGATCCCAATGGGAAGAAAAGTGGACCTCAAGTCACAATAATACTAAGATATTTTAAACATTCCTAACATGGCAAATACTGATATATCTAAGCCATATAAACAAAAACTCTTTGAGGTACTCAATAATTTAAGACTGTATAAAGGGGAGTCCTGAAACCCAAAAGTTTGAACACGGTGAGCATAGAGGATGGAGAACCAGCCTGGGGGACTCCGGAAGACTTGAATTCAAGTGCCATGTGTGACAGACATGTAGAGGCTATACGATCCTGGGCAAGTCATAGAGATCCTCCTACGCCCCACGCCACGCCAAGGAATTCTCTAAGACTATAAGTAGCAGAGCAGTTGTTAATATGAATTGGTTGAAAGGGTTTCCTCTTTGAGTGCTCCTTAAGTCAATGATATCAAAGAAAAATTTACATATACATTTTTTAAACTACCTTTTCACTGCAATGGCCAGGTTTTCTATCTCGGTGCTTTGAAGTCTGATCTCTTGGATAAAGTTCTTGATAACATATTCATAAGGTTGAATTAATCTTGGCTCCAAAATGTTGATGTTCTGATAAAGAATGCTAACTTGTTCTTTTCTGCCAAAGGAAAAGAAAAAAAAAATTTAAGTGCCCATTTGTGTAACAAACACTTTACCCACAAAGGGAACAAAGCAAGTGCAGATCACTAAAATAGGAATCAAAGTAGCATATAGGATAACAAGGGTGCCTAGAATAGAGAATGTGCATTTGGACAGTAATGGGATTAAGGGGCAGGGCAGAACCTAATTCTGGATGGTTTCCCTATGTGGATAGAGGAATTTACATGAAAAGGATAAGATAGAGCCAAAGAATGTTCTCTTAAAGAGCATTTCAATGAATATACATAGAAGGCTTTGAGCAGAGCTAACACTTTTCACCTTTTTCAAATCCTTTTCTTAATTAGAACATTGTTTCATTTTACTCTTTGGTACATGTATCCCTAGGACTGCTTGCTTGCTCATCGAATAACAAATCAATTTTTCTTGCTTTGATCCTTTGTGGGAAGTTAGCTTTGGTATCATCTAATAATGTTAACTTAAGCTATGATTCTACTGTGATGATAGCAGCGCTTCCTGAAATGAAAGCTAGAGATTTTGTCATGGGGGGAGGGGTGGAAATTAGTTTCCCAGAAGAAATGGACAACTTTGGGCCTAAAATAGCAATAAAGTCACATCCAAATAACAGATGCTTACCATGGGATTTAGAGCTGGTTTTGGAGGAACACAACCACCTCATCTTGAAAAGGTGGAAAATGAAAAACAGAGAAGTAATTTCTAATAAAGCAATGAAGTAGAGGAAAGGGAGGCAAAGAGAAGAAGAGGAGACAGAAGAAGGAACAAGTGGAAGGAGAGATAGGGAAGAGATAGGCAGAGGGGAGAGGGAGAAAGAGGAAGAAGAGTGAGTAGGAGAGGGAAGGAGAAAAGAGGAGGAGGGGAAGGGAGAAAAAGAGAGGGGAAGGGGGAAAAGGGAAATGAGGAGGGAAAAGGGAAAAGAAGAGGGGGAAAGGGAAAAGAGGAGGGGGAAAGGGAAAAGAGGAGGGGGAAAGGGAAAAGAGGGAAAGGGAAATGAGGAGAGAAAGGGAAAAGAAGGAGGGAAAGGAAAAGAGGAGGGGGAAAAGAAATGAGGAGGGAAAGGGAAAAGAAGAGGGGAAAGGAAAAGAGGAGGGGGAAAGGGAAATGAGGAGGGGAAAGGGAAAAGAGGAGGGTAATTTGTTGTAAAGATAAATTAAGGAAATGTTTGTAAAGCACTTCAAAAACCTTAAAGCCCTATAAAATGCCCACTGCTATTTTCTTTTCCCTTCCATGACCTACTCACAGAAAGGGACTTCTTGTCCTATGTCATAATCTCACTGTATGTAAACTTTCAAGCTATTCACTCCCAACATCTACCAATTTTTAGCAATATTTCAAAATACTAGATGCTGTCCACTAGCATCAAAATGGCAGTCCAAATGTCCTTCTGCATTCACACAAGTGCCAAGTCTGTGCCATACTAGCTAGCCCACGACACAGAACGCCATAATTTATGAGATGTGGTTAATTGCCCCAGTCTTATGATGGTTTCCACCTGGTTAATTTTCCAACCCCTGTAACATTTTCTACCGCATGAATTGCTCCAGTTTTCTGAGGCTGCATTTCACAGCTTGTGAGCAAACAGTAAATCACAAATCAAATCAACAATAGTTAAGTTTCTGCTATATTCCAAGCACTTTAAGATATCTGAAATACCAGACATTATATTTCCCCACATACTCTGTTTATATTTAGTAACAAGGTAGAGAATTCCAAAATAGGAGAGAGATAAAACCCATCAAAAACTACCACTTCATTCATGAAACGGAATGCTCCTCTCTTGATACGCAGGGCAGTCCAGAAGGCTTAATACTGCACTAAGATTTTTAGGACACCCTGTATCTGTGAACTGGGCTAAGTCCAGGGGTATTTGCACATATGTGTTTGCTTGTTGGTTCATCCTTTAGACTGTAAGCTCCTTGAGGACAGGACTTTCTTTTAACTCTCTTTGTAGCTCAAGCATTTAGCACAGTGCCTGGCACATTGTTGTTGCTCAGGTCGTGTCTGACTCTTCTTGACCCTCTGGACTATGGCACGCCAATAATGTCTGCAGAGTTTTCTTGGCAAAGATACTGAAATGATCTGCCATTTCCTTCTTCAGTGTATTGAGGCAAATAGAAGTTAAGTGACTTGCCCAGGGTCACACAGCTAGTAAGTATCTGAGGCCACATTTGAACTCAGGTTTTCCTGACTCCAGGCTCAGCACTTCATTCACTGAGCCACCTCGCTGCCCTTGCCTGGCACACAGCAGATGATATGTGTGTGTATAGATGATATATACATATACATACATATAAATACATACACAGAGAGACACATATGTATATATACGCACCTATGTGTATATATACATACATATCCATATATATGCATACATATATACATATATATATACACACACACACATATACATATATATTGACTGACAGCTAATGAGAATCCACTTAAATTTTCAATGTGAGCCTTTACACCTCAGAAATTAGCAAACACTACAAATTAGAGTTTGATTTATTGTTCTGTTGATTGTCGAGGCTTGGGAAAGTAATGGAGAAAATGTTAGGTAATGTAGATTAAACTTAAAAGTGTATTGTGCATACTTTTTTTTGGTTGTTAAACATTTACCAGCATGCCCCTGGTTAAGTATTACATGAAATGAGCCACATAAACCTGTACTTTCCATAAAAGTCCATTCCAACATCTCACCATTTATTTCATGGGGTGACCTTGGATTCTTCCTCCGGCAGGGCCGAGGGATAAGGCCTAGGCTAGACCTGTGATTTTCCTGGTCTAGAGAACCCTCAAGTAAGTAAAACCAATCTTGCAATGAGGGTTGGTATCATCTCTTCAACTTAGAGGTTTTGAGAGCAGAAGTTTCAAACTTGTAGCCAATGCAGCTCAAAATTCCATTTGGACCCAAGTTAAAATTTAATTGGAAAGTGTTTAACAAAATGAATATACATACACTGAAACATAGATAATGTTATGAAATGTGGTTTTCTACGTCAATACTCAGTCCACAAGGATTTGTTTCTATTTTCCTTTTGGCACCATTGGTCTAGAGCCCTAAGAGATTAAGTGACTTGCCCAAGGTTATAGAACTAGTATATGTAATGGTCAGAATTTGAACTTAGGTCTTTCTGGATTCAAGGCCAGTTCCCTATTCACTAGGCCAAGCTGTCTCCATGATATATAAGGTTCTTCCTTATAACATAATACTAGCAGAACCTACACCAAATTGAAAAGGCTTAGAGCATCATTGGGTCTCCCATCAAAAGCTAAGCCTAACTAAATTCAAAGCCTGGCTATCAAATGATAAATATTTTGTGGCCACAGTTCCTACTAAACTCACCTTCTGAAGCCTAGAAATGGTCTCAATCAGAGTCAGAACCGACACAACTAAAATTAGTTATCTTCCAAAGTATTGAATCACAAGCCAACAAACACAGTGAGAAAAAGGGAAAGTTCTGACTTAAGAACACAGCCTGAACATCTCAAACTCACAGATACACACAAAAGAAAATCCCTGAGGGATCACACATTTGGGAGCCACAGGATAACAGATTTAAAGCTAGAAGGAACCTTGGTGGTCACCTGGTCAAACCTCTTCATTTTACTGGTGAAGAACTTGAGATTTGGATGAGTTAAATGACTTGATCAGGTTCAAAAAACCATCAAGAATCAGAGGAAGGATTTGAACCCAGATGTTACTGACTCCAAGTCTAGCATGATCCACTGGGCCAAAAGATGGTACACTATACTTCTTGACAATGAGATTAGGGAGCAGACAAGCAACTTCATGGGGGCAGGGAATTCTGAGATGAGGAAATTCCTTCTAACCACATTTCTACAAGTGTCACTCAATCTGGGCATTCATTGGTCCTTCTCTCTGTTTTTCTGTCTCTGTCTCTCTCTCCTTCCCTTCCTCCTCTTAGTAAGTCAATGTCTCAATGACTTGGCCAAGGATACACTGATAGTAAGTCCCAGAAATGGACCTTGAACCCAGGCCCTGTCACTCTACAACTAGTACTTCTGCCTTTGCAGAGACAATATGGAGGGCACAGGTGGCCAAGACAACCCATTCCTGCAGCACTGCAGGGTCCCCGTATTTTTTTTTCTACTCTCATGGTATTGGGCACAGTCATCCAGTTTAGTCATCAAGCATTTATTAAGCACTTACTATGTGTCACAGGGGGACCATCTCTAGTCATCCTGATTTATATCTTGGCACTGGACCCAGATGGCTCCAGAGGAGAAAGTGAGGCTGGTGTTTTTGCACAGCCCTTCCTCACTTAAATCCAATTCACTTGCAAGTCATGGCATCACCTTCCTGATGCCATGGTCCTCTTCAAGAATGAAGGACAAACAACAATACTCATGGCTATGAATAAGGCTTGTTATTCAATCATTTTAAGACCTATCTGACTCTTCCTGACCCATTTGGGGTTCTCTTGGCAAAAATAATGGAATGGTTTGCCATTTCCTTTTCCAGGTCATTTTACAGATGAATTAACTGAGGCAAAAAGGGTTAAGTGACTTGCACAGGGTCACACAGTATCTAAGGGCAAATTTGAACTAAGGAAGATAAGTCTTCAGGACTAGCATTCTATCTACTATACCACCTAGCTTCCTTGAATAAGGTTTAATCAGCTCCAATTAATCAGATCACCTTCTGTCTTCTTCCAGCAGTAGACCAAAATCTCCCCAGTTCCCTGATCTTCAATTCCCTTCTCACTGTTCAAATATCAACTTCAAACTCTATTTTCCCCCCCTAAAATCAAGCACAACATGATAACTCAGCATTCCCTTGATAACCAAAATTCTGAGGATTGATAGGTAGAAAAATCCAAGATTTTATATGGATCTATGAACTTGTGTTAAATCACAAGTCAAATGCACAGTCCAGTTAGGAAGTTTAGTTAAGCATGGCCCCAGGGTGTCCACGTGGCTACAAGCTCAAGCCAGTTTCCCCATCTACAGAATCAGCTT